TGTCAGCCTTCCAAACAGATGAGTTTGAAAAATATGCGTCCAAGAATGGAATAGCAGATTTGACAAGTGTATTGAGTGCACTGGAGAGTACTCTGAGGGTTGTTTTGTAAAAAAAAAAAAATTAAATAAATAACTTTAAAAAATTCTGATTTTCTTGGGATAACCCCTCATAGAACTTAAAAAAAACCTGTTGATAAAAGGGATTTATTCATATGTACCCAGTTTTCCTGAAAGTAAGACATCTCCCCAAAATAAGACCTACTTACAGTTTTGCCTCTCACTGAAATATAAGGTATCCCCCTGAAAATAAGACTTCCCGAAGCTACCATAACTCTGGACTCTGGACTGTAGCAGTGCCGCTGCACAGCTCACTGCTGGCCGCAACACAGTCGGAGCAGACAGGAAGTGCAAGATCTCTTTTAATAAAACAATAAATGATAAATACGTACCGTATTCTTCCTCATGGAATAATAATACATTCCCTGAAAATAAGACCTAGCACATCTTTGAGAGAAAAAATGAATATAAGTTACTGTCTTATTTTGGGGGTAAACAGGGTAGGTTAGACTACAATACATGAATCGTTAACTTGTATAGCACTGAAGCATAGGTCACGTGACACTAGTTACAGAAGCCATGAGGATTGGAGAAATGCCAATATTTTCAGAACTCTGCTTGGTAAACTAATGAGTGTCACAATAAAGCAAAGAGTGCGTGAAAATAGCAAACATATGTTGGTTCTGAGTTGTCATTTGTTGGATATCCTCAAACCAGTAGATCTGTACTAAATCAAAGTCCTAGACTATCAATTACCTCTCCTTGATAGAGAAATCTTCTGCTGCTTCCTCTAGTAGGGCATTTCAGTGTTACGTTCAAAGGAATATTGCAGTTACTTAGTTCTTCTACAAGTTTAAGTCCAGTTCATTTAGTGGCGTATCCAATCCTGATTCTTTTGAGGTGGTCTATGAAGGAAAGATAGAATCTATTTGTTCCACAATGCCTGGATCACCAAGGGCTGATTAGAAACTAAATGCCCAGTTAGGAGCATGATACTAGAGATATTTTCCCCTTGGCATATATATAAGTAATGTGGGTACCCCACGCAGTTCCCCCAGCATCAGAAGTGTAATTGCTGTCTTCTTCATCTTCTCTCCCCAACTCCTCTTAATCTGAGTTCCTAGAAAGATTCGCGTATTGCTCTTGTAGGCCTTTTTGTTTTGGAGATGACCATAGAACACTCTGAAACTGCAGCAACTGATCTCCTCTTCCCACAGCATGGGAAATAATCCATGTGAAGTTCAAATGAGGGAGTGATAAACAGTTTGTGCTACACAGTTATGAGAGAAGCCCAGGTAGTGTAGGGATTACATGTTGGATCACAATCCACGGGGTCAGCAGTTTGAAGCCACCTGGTGCTCCTCAGGAGAAATACGGGGTTTTCTACCCCCATAAATCAGTGCTTTCTCAGAAGCTCATAGGGCAGTTTTACCCTGTCCTGCAGGGTCGCTATGAGTCATCATCTACTTGCTGGCAGTGAATATATATGTAGTTTATGGGAACCAGGGAGGCACACGACCTCATTGCTTGGGGGACCGGGTTAGAAGAGTGCACACCTGGAAAGCCTACCTTTGTGCTTGGTTTTTGTGCTGACAGTAATGGACTCAGATGGTATTTGTCCTCTTGTGATTGACTGGCCCTGCTCAATGTAATGGTTTCCAGGTACACCCATGCCATGAGGTGTTTCGTGGTTTCATCTTTGTTTTCTGTTATGTCTATATTCCAGCGTTTCCTTATCCATTCTTCAACTGATGGGCATTTGAGCTGTTTCCAATTTCTTGCTCTTGTGAACTGTGAATTGTATTGAGTGCACATGACTGTTAGTGCTCTGTATCTTTTCTTTTTTATTTCATGGGGGTTGCTATGTCCCGTAGAGGTATTGCTAGATCATATGAATCCAATTTATTCATGATTATATGGTACCTCTTAAAATGATTGCTTATCAATCAATTTTTGATACAATGATTTTGTTTATTCTTTTCATGGTTTTTTTTTGTGTGTGTTATTCCGTATTTTCTCCCAGAATATTTCAATGTTGCTTGAAAAATTCCAGTGTGCTCTTCTCTTTTGGTTCATTGTAATATTTTGCTTGGTTTACTTTTCTTTCTTTTAGATAATAGTGTTTTATTGCTATAAAATGACCTCTGAATACTGCTTTACAGGGTCCAAAAGGGTTTATTAGGTTGTGTTTCCATTCTTATTTGATGACGTTTTGAATTTGTTTTAAAAAAAATTAGTATGTTTAGTTTTAACAGCTTCACTAACATAAAATATACATACCATACATTTCAACGCTTAAATCACTTTCAGAAAAGCTGTGCAACCATCACAACCATCAGCTC